GTTAGATGTGACAAATTGTGTAACTGTTATGCAGGTTTATGCATGTTTTATGTGTGATTATGCACAATTATGCAAGGGTGTATAAAAATATACAAAGGTTAATTAATTATATTAAAACTTATAATTATATTATTGATTACTTTAGAACTTGTAATTGTTCTATAAATAGTTTGGGGATACTAATTTTGGGGTACAAAAAAAGATTTCTAGTAAAGTATTACAAGGATAGGGGGTATATTCAGCTAATAAGTATAAGTTTCCTAATGATGACTTTTATCAACATCTTTTAGGTAGTTTTAGTATAATATCTTAACTTGACATTAGTTCTAACACTGATAAAACAGCTGTTGATAATGTATCACACCATTTATTCAAGTTTGAAAGAGTTGCAGAATATAATAGATATGTAATTACAATATTACAACAACAAGTGCAGAACAAAAACAGGATAATATCTAGGTTAAATGAGCAATTCAAAGAATGTCATATAATGATTTTTCAGAAGGGTTATATCAAGAACAGTATAAAGCATATTAAAGACAATATGAAGCATATCAAGAACAGTTTGAAGCAAAAAGCAGCTAAACTAAACAGTGAAATTTTCATTATAATAGTCAGTATAATCATATTCAGGCTGTTATTGATATTGCACTAATCAAATAAGAATCATTATATAATGATATTGAGGCTCTTATTAGGAATAATAATAGATTTTCTCTAGAAAATCTATTAAACTATACTCCATGATTATGGTTAAGTCATATACAACCGATGTTTGATAAATTTTAAGAGCGCCTGTGCTAGCACTTGCGCAGCACTTCGCATACACTGCTCTTACACAAGCGCATGTGCAAGAGAACAGAGTATAGACTACAATCGGTTGAAATTTGTTGAAACCCAAAATTGCCAAAAAAAATTAAGTCAAAGAAAATCAATTACCAAAAATAATACCAATACAACCATTAGAATAACACCAAGCGTTAACAATCATTTCTAATGCTAAGCGATAATAAAACGCTAAATCTACAGTTATGAGTGATCTAGTCAGATATTTAGCACTTATTGTGAATAATTTTATACAAAACTTGCTATCTCTGTTATTACAGTATGTAGTTAAAATAATGTTAGTTTGCATTAAAATTATCATGATTTTTATTATGAATTGTGACGGATCATAATGAAACTGGATTAAAATGAAATATGTATAGTATAAAAAAATTAATAAGCCACCAAAAAATAAAATTTCTGGGGTGCATTTTTAGAATTAGGGGTTAAGGTTAGTGGTTGTTTTAGAGTAAAATTTATATTAAACAAGTACAAATGAGTTTTAGAGTGTTAAATAGAAACCCATATTTCATTTTAATCCGATTTCATTATGTTCCGCGACATTTACTTTTTTATTTTTTGATTGGCGTTATCACAAGAATATAAACATAATGATCATTTCCATATTTTTTTTATTTGTTTATATTTATAATAAATCATATGACATTCTAGAACTTCATGCTGTAGAATCTAAAAAAAATAGATGCATTGATAACGAGGCAATTAATATAAGTTAGAACATTATCCAGTTTTTCAGCAGAATTATCTTTTTTTTAAAAAAAAAAAAAGTGAGAAAAAAAAATGGACGAAATTGGAGAATGGTTTATTAATTTGCCATTATGCACAAAATTTTTGGTTTCAAATGTAGTTCTAATATCATTGGCATTGAATATGTATCCACACGGTCCTATTATTTATGGATTACATAAATTTCAGGTATGTTCTCCTCGTGTAAAGACTTCTTTGTTTGATTATTAATTAAATAAGACCACGTTTTTTTTAATACTAAATAGTTATGGAGATATTACTCGTCACTTTTCCTTTTTCCGCTTAGTATTACCGGAGCATTTCAATTATATCTCTTATATTATTTTTCTATGGAATTAGAAACTGCAAAATTTTTAGGAATAACAGCAGATTATGTTTATTACCTTTTATTCATAATTTTGACAATAACTGTATCCTTTGATACGTCAGAGATAGTGAATTTATTGAATATCTCATTCATTCAAAAAAAGAAATAAGTATTCTTAATAATAATTCTTTCCTTAATCTATAATCGTAGGTACAAAATTACATGTGGCCTATATTACTGTCTCAAAGTTTAATGATGGCGATCATATACACATGGTCCCTGTATAGAAGACAAACTACTATATATATTTATAATTATATAAGTTTCAAAGTATGGATTTTAAATAATATAATTAAAATTTTTATTAAAATGTATATTTAATTTTTAACAAAAATTTTTTACCTCATAATAGGCAGTATATCTACCATTTATATTATTGTTATTAGATACATTCTTGTATCAATATATTCCACATGACTTATTAGCAGGAATAATTGCAGGTCATTTATATTATTACTTAAAAGAAATATATCCTGTAGATGGTGAGATAGGATTATTAAATACTCCAAGTTGGTTATATAGAATATTCCCACGAATTTCATATCGTCCACCAAATTTACACAAAACAGCGATTTATGTTAGATTGGTATTTTTAGATTGGGGGTTATTTGGTTTACTTAATTTATGTAATATGATGAATATCAATCGTCGGAATATCTATGATTTATGGAATACCTTTAATTTATATCATATCCTTGGTGGGTATAGGGATTTGAGAAATTTTAGATACATGAACGGAAGACGGAGGAGATTTAATTTTTAGCAAGTTATTTATTTATATATTCAATTATTTTAACATTATTTTATTATAAATGAGATAGTTGTATAACTTAGTTGCGTTAAAACCATGAACGGGTTATATTCAAAGTTCTAATTATTTGTAATGAAAAATTATTTACTTACTTATATAAATATATAGTTGTTATAATAAATTATTAAATTACACCTATGGAATATTATAATCAATTACACATAAAATCTCAATCAATAAAAACTGTAAAACGTAAATCATATTGCAATAATGTTATAATGTCGTCCTGTAAGTAATAAATAAGGCATCGATCCTAAGGGGAAGCTTCGATCTTATAGCTTTTCGATCCGTAAAATCTTTGTGACCCTCTTTGTGAATAAACTGTTATCTGTGTGAAGTATCTATTAGGTGGTAGTTTCTGTATGATACGTCAGTCATCGTATTGCCAAGCGAGTGAAGCTTGTTAATGAAACCCCACGAATACACGGTAGTCTGGGTGACTATTTGACACATCTATTGTACATTCATTTGAAAGAAGTATATCCGACATAACATGTTTTTGACAGTCCTTTTCTTAGACAAGACATTTCCCCAACAATTATTTCCTGACATTCATTCTAGCCAACACTAACTCTAAATTGGTCAACTCTAATACTGAATCAGGT